AGCTTAAAAATTACCTATTCGTCCTTGTGAATCCAAAAAATTTTAATTTCTTTCAATTCTAAAGGAATTTCTTTGCATTTGTTACCCATATTTTTATTCCACATTGCATTGAATTTTTTTTTACAATTTTTGGAATTAATCATATCTTTGAAATAACAAAGTCCTTCAAAATAAATCCTGCGGTCAGAGAAAAAAAAATAAATATGCCACTTTAAATAAAAAAGTAGGTTTCAAACCCACTCAGGATATATGATTCCGAAAGGAGACTTAGGTCAATGCATTTGCAAATATAGTGCGTTCAATAAGACTCAAAGAACAACCTAATGTAGTCATTTACATATGAGGCCGATAAGAGCCTCAAAAGGAGTCAAGGAATTGATTCATATATTTATGAGGCCAAAAAACTATTTTAAACAGTCCAAAATGAGCCATATATGAGCCCAATAAGAGTCCATTATGACTTAAATTGAGGCTCATTTGATGTATGAGTTTAAAGCTCATATAAGTCGACCTTCGGAGGAAGGGAAACACCCTCACATCGGATTCTTAAATGATCTCATAATGAGCGTAAAGACTCTGAAATAGGACTCCGTAAAGACTCATTTATGACTCCAAATGATTGCTGAGATTATAAATATATGTATCAATGCTGGTTTTTGTATGGATGTGTATGTATGCACATTAGGGCGGTACAAACATAAATGCGGGGAAGAAAAGTATAAATATTAAGCTCTCACCCCCTAGAATTTTTCTAAATGGAAAAAACGAATGTCCATATATTTCTGTTAAAAAAAAGAAATTTTATATTTAGAACTGCCTCAAAGCCTATGAAGTGTCCATGTATTTTATATGAGGACAAACACTTTTTCGTAGATATCGTATAGAAAAATATTGATTTTCAAGAATTCTATTCCTACGAAAAAGTGTTTGTCCTAATATAAAATACATTCACACTTCATGGGCTTTGAGGCAGTTCTAAATATAAATTTTTTCTTTTAACAGAAAAATATGGGCATTCGTTGTTTGCATTTAGAAAAATCCTGGGGGTGAGAGCTTAACATTTTAGACTCTTTTAGACCACTTTAGTGTAAATACATATATGTATGTATGTATGAATGATGCGTGTCACATCTGAGTTCTTTGTGCAAGCTAACCAAATGATTAGTTCCGAGCTCGAAGGCTGGTTTATGAAAAAGTTCTGTCTAAAAAAGATCGCTCAGCGGGCAGGCAAAAGCAAAGCACAGAATGCGGTTCTGATACGAAAAAACTTAAGTCTTAACTGCCGGTCAGAGTGCCTTGTGTGAGGCTGAAGGTCTGCTTCATTCGGGCACAACGTCAAAAGAATCAAATAAAAAAATCGAAGGCGAAGGTCGGCCCAACACATGGCATATGTAGGATATACATGTGTGTACACTACACTTACATGTGTTTGCATGTCAATTGTGTAAAAATATCTATATTTCTGCACATGACTGAATGAATGTGTGTAACTAGTACGTACATATGTCAAGCACACACGCCATTAGATTACGTGCTCCTTTGTATATTTAGTTATGCGCTTTTTTAACGAGCCTCTGTATTGCAAATTTTCTCTTTTATAACGTACGAACATAAAATCGTGTAATTGTGTTTATTTATGCCTCAACATTTTCTTTTCTATTTTCTTTACCCCTCCCTCACACATTGTATGTATGTATGATGCTTTGCCTACAAACAATCAGTGGAAGCAGCAGGCGAACCGGGTAACGATAGCGTCTACTACAACCCTAAGAGTTGGGTACATTCCGATGGCAGTGATGCTGCCTATTTTATGCTTCAAATGCATCCAGATTTGGCTGACCCCATTGAGCAATTGGGCATGGAAATCGAACCGGATGACAATGAGACAGTGACCGATTTCAAGCAACGCTTCGGTGAGAAACGTCTGTGGGAGATGCAAATCAATGTCACCGATTTGGATGAATTGGATCTACGTTGCGGTGGTTTGGTGCGTCGCTCCAATATGTCACAACTCACAAATGAGACTGTCAACTGCATGGTACAGCGTTGTATATTTACAATGAATGCACCGGAGATTTGTCCACCGGATTACAAAGAGTCGGATGATAGAGTTTTCTGGATATACTTTTTGTTGAGGTAAGTGTGTAGGCATGTAGGCGTGTACGTGTTGATGAAAGTGCAGTTGGTTAAAACTTGTCTCACTTACGTAATACTGATTGGCACTGAAAAAGAAGGGAAGATTGGAATGGACTCGTTAGAAAATCTTAAAAATCTTAGGATTTATCTAAATAGAAAAAAGGAATATGTGTTTGTTTTGGTAAAAAAAAAAANAAGGTTTACGACATCGTATTTGTTATTTTTTTTATAAATACATACATTGTCAATTAGTGATTTGTTCTGGTTACATTTCTTTTAAATTACTGGACTCTCACATTAAGTTTAAAGTTTCAGAAATGTTTTTATTCTTCCCTTGTTTCTTGCTAAATATGTAAAATTTTTTCTTTTGCTAATACCCATATTGATATACATATTTCAGTAAACTTATTCCCTTATTTAAATTGATTTTGATTTTTTAAACATGCGGCAACCCTTCTACGTGTCGTTTAGAAGTAATCATTTTAAAAACCATTTCGATTGATTACCATATTGTTATATTTAGTTCATTAACCTTATTAAATAATTTTAGTAAAATTTGTAACAGGTGGCAACTCGTTTCAAAAAATAAAACTTTGTTGTACATGTACAAGTCAAGCCCTGTCATTTGACACCTAATTTTTTTAAAGAGAACGAACCTCTGCTCGTGGACACATGAAATACTTTTTTACGAAATCCGTCCGACTTAAAAAATAATGGCTCATATACTGGCTGAATCCAGTTCAACCCGACATTCAAAAGAATATTGGAAGTACGAGCGTCGACGAGCCCTAAAGGTCTATAAGGCTTTAGTCGGCATTGATGTAGAGCTTCCATGAACATCATGCACCCCCTTCATGCCATCCTTTGTTTATTGTACCAAACCGTGATGCCGTAGAACAGAATGGGACGCACAAACCCTGAGTACAGCTAAATAATTAATTTTTCCCGCTTTACTGATTCACAGACTTCCAGTGCCTTTGTGGGAGTGGAAGGCGTATTGTACGAGGGCTTTCATTTGGATATTGTGCGCCTCGTGTAACTAGGGATGATGACACGAGTACAAGTACATACTCGTTACTTTTCGTTCGATACCAAGTAATTTTGGTATCGATTCTTATGAACGAAGTACTTCGTAGGTATCGAAACCCGATACTAAGGCAAATTTGGCTTCGGTGATTTTATTTCCACTGTTATTTCTAAGCGCNCTCTTCCCTTGTTTCTTGCTAAATATGTCAAATTTTTTCTTTTGCTAATACCCATACTGATATACATATTTCAGTATCCTTATTCCCTTATTTAAATTAATTTTGATTTTTTAAACATGTGACAACGTGTCGTTTAGAAGTAAATCATTTTAAAAACCATTTCTATTGATTCCCATATTGTAATATTTAGTTCATTAACCATATTAAATAATTTTACTAAAATTTGGAACAGGTGGCAATTCGTTTCAAAAAATAAAACTATGCTGCACATCTAAAAGTCAAGGCCTGTCATTTGACACCTCATTTTTTAAAATAGAACGAACTATATGTACATACCTATGTAAATGCTACAAGAACCTGTGCTCTCTGATAGTTCACACATAACTCCATCTCTCGAGATTCAGGAGCTGAAGCTACTTGTATCCATGGTCTAAGGCAATGCAAGAGTCGCTGCCTCCGCGTAACCAGTTAAAGATCTGGATCGGGACTACAGTGACCACTGTGGCCATGGTGAAAAAAGAACGAATTAATAAAAATCGTATTTCCGACGACCAGAAGATTTTAATAAATGTTCATACCTACGAAGATATATGTAACCTTCGGAGACCTAGTCCTTTTACTGTATAGAAGACGAGGAGTTTCGATGAGCAGATGCCAGCTACCATTTGCTACATTTTCTTCCGGAAATAAATTATAGTGAACGTGCTGGGCATTGTTAAATTGGCTTAATGTTGTTTTATACCTGATCCAAACTGTCGCTTCCATTAAGAGGACAAAGTGCTGGAATCATCTTTCATGGCCATATTTATCTAGTCTTCGCTAGGGTAAGATTAAAACATCCTAATTAGTTGAAAACACTCCAGTTTCACACGTTTATCGGAACTTGTTCATAATAGCCTGCTTGTTTTTAATATTAAAACCTCAATTTGAGTACAGTGCCCACAGAGCCTATTAAACACTAGCTCTTTCACTGTTCCAACCTAGCTGATCAACCCATTTTTGAATAAGTACTTTATAGATTGCTTTGCCGACTTATATTCAAAGATTTTTTCGATTTTCCGCGCTGTATAAAGCGCACTCAGTAGTTAAATTTCTGTGGAAAGGAACTAAATTAAGAGCTTTTGGCCAGAAAGAAATACTGATACTTTTTAGCCAGAGCGGAATAATGGTAGAGATTATATAAAACACTACCCAGCTACTCTATATATGTACATATGCAGTTGCAGTAAAATCGTTAGTCAACAAACCTATGCAGACACAGCTAGGTTAGGTAAGGTTATCTTAGATGCCCTCAACCAGCAAAGGAATAGAGCATACTTAGACCACCATGGGCCCATTGTAATGCCATATTTGAGACTGCTTTTTTCCCTGCTCTTACCTTAGGAATCTAACCAACTTGTAGCTCTGATGAAATACGCAAATCCTTATATACTGGCTGAATCCGACATTCAAAAGAATGGTCGAGGTACCAGTGTCGACGAGCCCTAAAGGTCTATAAGGCTTTAGTCGGCATTGATGGTAGAGCTTCCGTGAACATCATGCACCCCCTTCATGCCACTATTTGTTTATTGTACCAAATCGTGATGCCGTGGAACAGAATGGGACGAACAAACCCTGAGTACGGCTTAATAATTAATTTTTCCCGCTATCACTGAATCACAGACTTTCAGTGCCTTTGTGTGAGTGGGAGTGGAATGCGTAATGTGCGAGGGCTTTCATTTGGATGTTGTGCGCCCCATGTAACTAGGGATGATGACACGAGTCCAAGTACATACTCGATATTTTTCGTTCGATACCAAGTAATTTTGGTATCGATTCTTATGAACGAAGTACTTCGTAGGTATCGATACTCGATACAAAGGCAAATTTGGCTTCGGTGATTTTATTTCCACTGTTATTTCTAAGCGCCTTATACCTCATGGCTCCTTAATTACCAGCGAAAATCGCGAGAAGGCGACAAAGTCGATATAATGCAATATGTATACAGGGCCCAACTATTCTAGTGGAAGAGTAAACTGGACAGACGTTTCAACGCGATGTTAAACTAACTGAGTAACTCTATTAGACCCTGTTCAAATGAAAGGTGCTTAATACGTGTTTTGATACTAAAACCTGCACGAATGTACTTCCGTTTAACTCGCGTTAGCATGTGAACACCTGGAGTTAAATGCAACTAAATATGCGTAGTTGTAACCGTGCATTTAGCTCCCGTCATGTGAACAGGGTCTTATTCTTCGCACGGAAAATACTAGCGGAAAATATTAAAGGCAGGGAAGTGAAGCTCTGTGATTGAAGAAAAGAAACAAAGAAGAAAAAGTTCTCCACAAATAGTTGATTTCAAAAAAAAAAAAAATAAAAAAAAAAATTCTTAAGCAGGAATCCCGGCGTCGTTTCGCACAAACGCACAGCAAAGCAACAAAACAAACGCTAATTTTTGCCTCCCTCCCGCATTTTAGCATCGAAGAGCGAACACTACTAATATTAATTTAGTTTACATACATACATTGACCCCTGCTATCTCAACCATTAACACCTTTGTCTTTTCATTCGATTGCAAATTACCTTCATAAAATGATGTATGTATTTCATTTTATTTATTTTTTTTTGCTCAACAGATTCCTTGCCACAACAATGCTGTCAGCTGGTGTCACCATAATGGATCCCATTGCGCTGACTATGATTGAGAAATATGGTGGAGATTTTGGGCGTGAGCGGCTTTTCTCCAGCATTGGCATGGCTATTTTTTCGCCAATTACAGGCATAATGATTGATTATTTTTCGCGTGGTCTCGGCTATACAGACTACTCGGCCGCTTTCTACACCTACGATTTGTTGCTGGTAATATCGACAGTTTCAGTGTTAATGATGCCATTGGGCGATAAATTGCCAGCGGATAATGTTTTTCGAGATTTGTGGAATCTACTCAAGATGCCGCATGTCATTACATTCATCTTCTTCCTCTTCATATTGGGCAATTTCTGGGGCTTCATAGAGAGCTTCCTATTTCTATATCTGAAAGAGTTGGGTGCGCCNTGGCTATACAGACTACTCGGCCGCTTTCTACACCTACGATTTGTTGCTGGTTATATCGACAGTTTCAGTGTTAATGATGCCATTGGGCGATAAATTGCCGGCGGATAATGTTTTTCGAGATTTGTGGAATCTACTCAAGATGCCGCATG